TTTTTTTTTTTTTCCGTCCCATCTTTCTTGAACGTCTGTCTCCACCTTCCATATGGAAATAATCTATTACAGTAGGTGCTTTCCCTGTAATATGACCTCAAGAGCGAGGCCGGTTGCCCTGTATAACGCCGGTAGAATCGCGTGACCCAGATGCAAGATTCACGTTGCCTCGTGCTCTGAATAGTGCCCCGCGTGCCCGGTATAAAGAACGCCCAAATAATCCCGTGGTACACGGACCAATTGCTTTACCCCGGACATCGTTCTACGTTGTTGTTGCTCTGTTTTTTGCCCGCTCAGTTGAAGGCTGTGCTCGTGCCGAAAGGTCTAGCCCAGAGTAAAAAGAGTAGAGTTGGTTAATCACGTTGTTGTTCACAACAACGTTGGTGCTCCTTGTCGTGAGGCAGATTGATGAGATGAGCGATGTATGAAGAACCAAGAATAGGGTGAGGGTGCTGTGTATAGCTGTTGCTTTCTTGTCCAAACGAAGTCGAAGCAACCAACAGAAGACGAACATTTTCATTTTTGAAGGGAACAGCAGTGCTCAGTTGCATGTAGGAGGCCCTCGGCACACGATGACCAAGAGCTGCTGCTGCTGCTGCTGCCGTCTGTCTGTCTATCGTTCGTCCTGCAATACGTCACCACCAGGTACTTGGCCATGTTCTCAGCCTTCACGTACTTCGGAATGCATGTGTGCGTCGGCGTGGCGGCGCCCAACAAGAGGTGAGGATGTGATGATTATGCTGGCCGGCGATGCCGTCGGTAGAAGGAACAGTCTCGAGAACGGTGCTTTCGTGAAGTTTTGAGGAGTTGGCGCCTTCCTGTGACAAGACAGCAAGCATATAATAGCACAAATTTGTTTGTTCGATCAGCGTATCCAAAAGAACCTTTTGACGTTTGTAGAGCGTGTCGGGGTGTTGATGATGGGGCGACGGCTTCGTTCTGTTTTCGCTGGTCGCGCTTGTGAAGGCTTGAGAATAAAACAACTCTTGATATTTTGTCCTTCGGTATGTTGGTACATGACATGACATGTTGTCTTGGTTTCAACGTGCTGTCCGCACCACCGCTACGACTGAAGGTTTTATGTACATGTACATGTACGTTCATCCCATTTAGTCTGGCGCCAGTCCAACCACCTTTCGGTGTACGACGAGTATGTGTTTGATGCATCAACCCGGGTGACGCAGAAGGAAGGTCACACAGGACTTGTTGTCTTGGGAGCATACCCTCTATTATTCCCATTATTCCCTGGTGATTGTTGTTGTTCTTCTTGACCCCTTGTCTGCGTCCGTGTGTCGCGCTAATCCTGCACTTGTTTCTTTCTCTGTCCATCCCTCTTTCGCTGTTGCAGGCTGTTCTATCGCGTGTTGGTACTCACGGCCGTCTGCGGATTGGCCATGGGTTCGAAGGGGGCTTTGTTGGTCGCAGCGGCGCTAAACAATAGCGGTACGAGCGCGCTGTTCCCACCCAGTCTAGGAAGGTGGGTGATGAAGGGTGGTGGTGCAAGCAGCAGTGACGATAGGTCCACTTTTCGAAGGCTTGGCATTCTTTTATTTCTAGTATCCATTCCGTTTAGTCTGGGCACCTTAGGGAATGTGTGTGTACCTTCTGCGTGCATATTTCGGGCGTGCCAGCCGGGTTATGGCACCAGTGGTGTACCTTTTTCGCCAATGTTTTCGGGCGTGCCAGCCGGGGCCACGCACACTGGAATTCCTCTAACTTGTGTTCTGAAGAGAGAGAGAGGTTCGACAATCCCTTCCGTTGCTGACACTTCTAGCTGGACTCGGGGGGCAGGAATCGAAATCTACAATTGCTTTCTGCATTTTTTGCGTACTTTTTGGTGCCGCCATTGTGCGCGTTTGTTGAATTACCTTCGACCTTGACGCCGTTTTCGGGATCGACTGACTGCGTCAGTCGTAAAGGGACAGGCGTGCGCAAACAAAGGCCGGTGTGATGTTCTTCTGTTGTCTTAATATATACAAGGAATAGTACCTTGGGCAAGGGTGCATCGCTCTGGTTGCAAATCCCCCAGAGGTTAAAAATGGTTCATGCATACCTTGTTTTGAAAAAATCGCAGATATCGCTTCGAGGCGTTGATGGCGCTGGAGGAATTGGTACCATCTATCGCCATCGCGTACCTGACGGCTAGGGGAAAGGGTCGCCGGTATCGCGCCCAGGTGCTTCCCTCGGAGAGAACAGGGCTAGCGGTGAGTAGGGTACTGTGGTAGAAACTTGTCTTTCTCATGCACATGCGCATGGGTAGCTGGCCTGTGGCCACGGAAGGCGTCCGTCCTCGTCAGTTGGGCCGGTACGATGGGATGTTCAATAGTGCTGAACAGTGACCGGGACGGTTTTTGATGTGAAGGCAATAACTACATTGTAAACTTACAGTGAAACATTTGAACTCGTGTGGGGGGGGGGCATACGGCTTGCGTCTACTACCGTCTAGGCTTGCTTACCTTCGCCAGCGGCGGCGAAACTTTGATGCTGGGTCACAGCAGGAGGACTCGCATGCTATGCATGTTTCGATTTTGTGGCGAGGCAGGCCCGGCGGTTGTTGCCACTTAGGATGGTGGTGTAATACCTCAATATTGTAGCCAAGCAAGCCGCTTTTCTGGCGACCTTAAGCATGGGTGGGTGTATTGCGGGCTAGGTCCCTTGTGGTTCGATGGAAGGTAGCGGAAAAACTAGCGGTCGAGAAGCGCTGTAGTATACCATGTATCATGCGACACACACCGGATCTTATCCTTAGCCCTTACCGCGCTGGCTTGGAGAGGTGGGAGGATTGGCATTCTTGCGGCATTCCGTTGGGTTATTTTTTTATGTTGACTCCTTATCCTTCCTTGCCCTCTTCCTATCCCCACATCCCTCTCCTCGTCCACGGCTATCCTTAACGTTCCCGCCCCATGTTGTTCGTGTCCACTCGATGTATCATTGTCGTTTCCATCGACTCAGTACCACCATTCTTGTAAATTCTACCTCCCCAAGCTTGATGTAGCCATGACGTTCCTCACCTTGTACACCCGTCCCGTCCCGTCCTGTACCATTTCTGGGCGGCCTGCCTACCGAACCGAACAAAAAAACAGCGGTGGGACAGCCTCGACTACAGCAGCATCAACTTCACCTACGGCGGGATGGTTCCTTCCGGTACCTCGGGGACGCGCGTCGTTCCTTATTCTCCGCTCTTGTACGGGCCGTCGTCCATCGACGAACCATAGCCGAAGCCTTGCCAGCTCTCATTGCTTAGCTGTTTACTTCCGTTGGCTCTTGCAAGACCGGTAAATGTGGTGGTGGGGCCACCGGGGTCTATCCTCGGCCGTTACGTACGAGGTGACCGTTGATCGCCAACGGTGTTATAGTGGATAAGTAGCCGTTGGAAGCGTGTCCGTCTTTTGGCGGGTTGTCTGTTACGTAGCGCGTGTTTTTCGGAGCCCCCCCCCCCTTTATCTATCCACCACTGGTGTTTTCCAGACCTGTTTCTATTTCACGCAGCAGCAGCAGCAGCAGCAGCAGCAGCAGCAGCAGTCCCCGCCACCAAGTGATTATTAGGTATATGGCCGCCAAGTGTCGCACAAAAAGTTTTAATATTTGATGTCATTTTTCAGGCACCGACAACAAACCAGTCAGTCATCGACGTGTTGAGTTCAGAACTCTTCACCGCTTTTACGTTTAGTCTTGGCAATGCATTGCCTTTTGAGTTCGTCGGTCCTGTCTGTCTTCGGTTCGAATCGAATCGCGACTGATGTCGGTAGCGGTTTCGCAAATAGTGCGGTGTAGCTGCAAGAAAAGCTGCAGCGGTAAACCGCGGGGACCCCGCATTATTCGGATTGAGAATCGCTTGGGCTTAGGTGAAAGAAGTCCCCAGAACATGCGCGAAGAGGTTGGCTGTGCCCGTAATATGTCGGTACCTCCCCACAGTTGGAGAGCCCGTTGCGTACTCTGTGTGTGGCGGTGCAACTTTGAGTTTTTTTACTGTTGGTGAGGTGTGCGATGTCCCCTTTGGCGGCACCATATTGTAGTGCTGTACGGCGCGTGTATGGCGTGGCCTTGGAACGGGTTGGCTGCTGCCGTGATGGCCTTGGACGTGAAGGGGAGGGTGTTTGTTTCCTACAGGCGTTCGTGGTTCGACAGGCACACGAATCAGAAGGAGGAACCGGTGACTAGTGCGACACCGCCGTGTTAAGGACCATCTTGATAGGCACTAGCAGTGCTCCGCTTTCTGGAGAAGGATCCACAAATGCGCTCGAGGGTGGAACTGAGCTATCATGTCGTGCCCCATCTGTTTAGCTGAGGGAGTTGGCAAACGCTGCCGTGAAGTAACGCTTGTTTTTGTAAGGTAATTGTTTTGTACTTGTACTTGTGTTTTTTACAAGTGTTTCCGCTCGCCACTCTTGGGCATGACGTTTTTTTTAGTGGTGCAGCTGCTGGCGACCGGGCAGAAACGGCTTTCCTGTATTTTTTTCCGCACTCGAGTTTCGTCGTCGGTCGCGCTTCATTGATCGTCCTTTCAGTTCTGCTTTGGCAGCACACGGGGAGGGGGGGGGGTGCTCAACGTGAACGTATCCTTTGGATTCAACGTGCTGGTCTCATCGCCGTTTTTATGTCGCTGTGTCCTTTGCGATTTTTACATGTTTCAAGGTCGGGAGCTAACTTGGTGGCTCACGTTCTTCCTTTAAGTGTCATGACAAGTTCTCGCTCTTGTGAAGAGTTTTTGCTTCTTTGTGTCGCTGTTATTTACGGAGGGCTTACTCCTCGTACAACGCCATGTACATAGGGTTATGTAGGTTAACCTGTTTTTTTTATAGTCGGATTTTGGTGGAACGTTATGGGGTAAAGGGTGTGTAGTTCCGCACACGAGACAGTATACGGGACGGGATAGAGTAGTCGACGAGTATTTCGCAACCTGCTTCTAGTGTCGAGCAAATGGGTTAGCAGTGGCATTTGGTGTCTGAGCGTAAGTAACCGCACATGGGCGCTTTGTAAATAGAAGTGTGCGTATTTCCTACCATGCCATGTCGTGTGGCCTCCGTATTTCTTGATCATTTCCCCTCGAGTTGTCGTCATCTTGAGTGGCACTCGAGGCACGTCGTTTTCGTGTGTGCGTGCGTGCGTTTTTTTTGTTCAGACAATTTACGCGGGGATTATTTTGGTTTTTGAACCACACATTTCGGTGTCGGTTCCTTTGTTCACTTCGACTTGGGCTTCGATGTGTCGGCCGTTTGTCTACGCTTTAGTGTCGAGGTATATAGTCATTTGGTGTGGAGGAGAGCATCGATGGGTGTGTAGTGATCTTGCTTTTGAAGTTATCTTGGATATCAATGAATACATGCAAGGAGACAACAATCGTCCGCGTTTTTAGTTGGCCTACGGTAACGAGGGGCTCGGGCCTCGTCGGTGGCGTTCTGTGCAGCAAAGGGAAGAGCAGGTATTTTCTTTCAGCTATCCCTTTTGCCATTCGAACAGCTTCGTTAGTTGGCCGCCGCCACAAAAAAATGTGTATCATGAAAGGGCCCCTGCCCGGTGATCGTGTGCTTTGTTTCCTTACAACGTTGGCGCAAAAGGCTCATCACCGAATGTCGGGGAAAAGCAAACACCATGTGTATCTGTCTCTCTGGTTCAGCTATCTACCGTGCAGTGTGCCTTGTAGCCTGGAACGAGGCCATCGGAAAATAAATGTGCTTGTTGCCCATTATTGGGTTCGCCCCCCCCGACCCATCTATCCACCAATGTGGGTGCAACAAGAGAGGTGGGGGGGACATGTCTGTCTTTCGGACATTGACCGAAGAGCAAGCCTCATTTTCGGTTCCACTCAGAGAACCACCTTGAAATTCTCCCATTATCCAGACTACTTTCCACTTCATCGTCGTCTCTTCCATCAGCAGCCTAGTGTAGTCTCCGTCCATACCCCCCGTGTTTCCAAACTCAAAGCATGCCTGGGTGTTGGAATGTTTCTTATTCTTACACATGCCGCACAACCAACAGCACAACCAACCTTGTTTTCCACCTCTCAACTACAAAACGTTCAACCAAACCACCCCGAGCGTGTGTGCTCGGCCAATCAAAGTAGCACGTGGATACGAACATTCTCAACGAAGCTAAGGATAAAGCGACAGAATACCGCTCCGAAAAACATGTTTATCTTGGCAAAGCATGATCTAATACCCGGTTAGAACCAATCGCTGGCAACAGCCATCACCCACCACATCTTCACACCAAAAACATGCACCTACCCGTTCACCCTACCCGTACCCCCGGCCACCAACTACAACCATTTACCACTTGCCTATGCCCACCCTTGATACAATTACTACATCCTTGCTGCCGTGCAGTACGACACGTTTAGTGTAACTTGTTCCTTTCTTGTGCCTCCTTACTAGGAAAGGCGCCGGTTCCACAACCGACCGCGCCAGTCCATAGCCGTAGAGGACAATCATCAAGTAGATAGACCAATGTCCTAGACACAATGAGGTAAATAGAAAAATCAGCCAAGTCCCGCCCGGTGTTTGGTGTCGAGCGCTAGCTCCCGGGGGCAGACCGATACGTAATAAAGCAGAAGCTTAGGGACAACCACCCGTCCGTCCGGACGGATGCTAGACTATTATACATGACCACGGAATAGAAGAGGACTAACACACGATGCTCCCAGTCGGAGCACCACATACAACAACGATTTGTGCCACAGCACTAGAGTGCCTTGTCTGCTAGCAAACACATTTTTATACCAGTTTTCGGGGTACCAACTTCTCACGCACTGGGTGGGGGGACACCGACCCTGACGTCTGCCCGTGCATACATTTATTAATCACGAATCATCAACATGAAAAATGTAAAGAAACAGTAAGCATCGCTACAGATGATAAAATTAGCACCGTACGCCAACCGGTACGCCATCCACGGTAGTACCACCAACAACATCAAGTAGACGTCCCAAACAATCATGACTGTACAGGCATATCAACCATAGATCAGCATGAACATGAACATGGCCGGGCGTACAGAAGGTACGTACATATCCATCCGCGCGTCGGTACAATACGTGCTCGCGCCCAAATCAACCCTCCTCCAGCAGTCCATCTGCCAACACTCGCAGCCAGATGCAAAACTTCAAAATACCTAGGGGTCATCGGAAGATTTATCACCGTCTACAACGAGCCAGGCACAAGGTTTCACCGAAAGGTTGCACATCGAACCGCCAATGCTCATTTCCCGAACGCTCACGTAAAATAACATCGACCAAATTTTTCGAGCCGGTGGACTAAATCCAGATCCATTTTTTTTCCTCAACGCTTTCGCCTCTTCGTCCACAGTAAGTAACAACACAGACTTTTTTCAAACAAGAAACCAATGCACTGTACTCTACTTTCCAGCGCAACCTCGCATGCATACCCATCAGGCAAAGTCTACGGGGCCGCCAAAACTACCAGCGCCGCCACCGACGCTACTGCGGGGGACAAGAAGGTCCTCCACGCCGATGAACACCCCGGCGGCCTGTGCCTCCTTCAAGAAAGCGTCGCTGTCGTTCATGTTTCTCCCGTCGCCACCGCCGCCGCCGCTCTTGCTGTTGTCGGGAGGAGAAGAGGCCCTTACCCCCGAGTACGTCGACGAAGCAGGCGTACAAGAAGGAGCACTGCCGCCGTCGTTGGGATCCCAGTTAGCCGCGAACAGGTCGATGAAGCCGAAGTCCTCCTGGTGGGGGGACGCCTGAGACAGCTGGTGGTGAATGGGCACCCCGGTAGCAGGCGAAGGTTCGGAGGACCACGGCCCCCCCGCATCGCCAGGGATAGTGATGTTGGCGGCCCCCCACCCGAACTGCTCCAGGTGCGAGAGCGGCGAGGACTGGTGCGGGGAGTTCCACCCGTTGAGCGAGGCGTCCACGACCGCCGCAAGGGAGAGGTCCTGGTCGTACTGCTGCATCGCTGGAGACGTCTGGGTCGCCTTCGCCACCGCCGCCGCCGCCGCCTGGACGGTCGCTACGGCCTGCCCGACCGGCGAGTGGATGGACATTGGGGAGTGCTGGTTGATGATGGGGTCGCTGTGGCCGCCGCTCTCGTCGCAGTCGGTGTCGCGGAACAGGTAGGGGCTGCTGGGGTCGAAGGTCGTGTCGGACTGGCTCGGCGAGCACGATCCCGCCGAAGAGAAGGACAGCGAGGAGGCCAAGGAAGAGCTCACGGAGGACGTCCGGTCGAGGCCGCCGAAATCGCCGACAGGAGAGTGCTCGTAGTCGGAGGGCGAGGTCATGGTGGTGGGGGTCAACACGTGCTGCAGGCCGGTGGGAGACCTCGCGGGAGAACCGGGCACCTGTTCCCGCCAGTGGTCGTTGTTCATGTTGTCGGGCTGCCCCCGGCACAGCCGCTCGTCCTTGCTGTCGCCGCTCGAAACCCGCTCGAGGCCCCCGGCGGTACTCTGGGTGGGCCACGTCCCGTTGTTGGAGCTCTCGTCGCCGCCGTTGCTGCTGCCGTCCTGAACGTACCTCGCGCCTCCCCCGGTGCCAGAGTCCACGCGCCGACGCAGAGCGCTGCGACGAGACCCCGAAGCCGCCGGCCCGTACTCTTCTTCGTCGGAGACCTCGTCGGAGACATCATCATCGTCGTCGTCGACGTCGTCGTTGGCGGTGGTGGCGTCGTCTTCGAGCTTCCGGCCGCGGCGGATCGGGCGGAGGTCGGCTTGCGCGGCCGCCCTCGTCCTACCCCGCCCGGACAGCTGAGAAGCAACGAAAGCATTCCCGCCGCCGCCGCCGCCGCCGCCCTTGACGCGGGCGAGGCGCTGCGCGGCTCTTGCCTCAACGGCGAGGTCCCGCTTCACCTTTTGGCGCCGGACCTTGGAGAGCAGGTGGCGCTGCCCCCTGCGGAAGCTAGGGTGGTGGAAGGCCCCCGCGTGCGCACCTTTCCGGCGCTTGAACTGGTAGAGGTTGAGCTGCCGCTGGAACGAGGTGAACTTGGAGTCTGCGTGATGGGCGATGGGGCAAAAACCGGGTAGTTACCGGAGGGAGAGGCGGGGTAGGGGCGGCGCTTCAGCGGGAGCACCGGAAGAAGGGGGTAGGAAAATGGATAACTTTCAACGGCGGTAAACGGTGCGCTTTAGGGACCTTCTATTAATAGACTGATAGGTACCACACACGGGCCGCAGCCACCGCCACCGCTACTGCTTCTAGGTATATCTTAGCCTAGGAGCGGGGCACGAGAGACAAGCAAGCGTCCCGAGTGTGCTTGTTGTAGGGGGCGGAACGTGCACATGGTATATAGTTCGCGCAGGATTTCAAATGCAGAAGTGCTCTACACTGCGCGCGCGGTGGTGGTGTACAGGGGTGCCGGGAAGGTTGGTTCGGGCAGAATGGGGTACGCTCTATGCGGGTCGTAGGTGCTTGTTGTCGATCGACATTTATTTAGGGTAACGGGCAACCGTTAGCCGCCGTGAACAGGGTGCTCTGCTAAGACGCTTGCTTGTAGTAGTAGAGGGCAAGAACGCAGATGTATTGCAGATGTATTGCGTGACCTTTGACGATTGCACATGCAGCAGTACGTTGTTTTAAGTAGCAAGGTTGAACGGGAAATAAAGCAGGGAGAGCTAAATAAAGTTGTCGACCATGCATGCGATGTAATACTCTGTTCACAGTTTTTTGTCCGTGCGCGAACGGAACACGAAGAGAGGGTCGGCAAGCACAGCCAACCACCGAATGCGTACAGCAAGAGCGAGTTGACAAACACTTTGCTCTGAAGCGAACGACGTCCGGAAAAGCCATGGGCAGGATATATACACTGCTGTAGAGTAGGACAAAGAAATCCTGTGGCGGCCGGCCGAGATTGCAAGTCATAACGGAAAACGTACTAAGTAAGTTGAATCGGTTCCTCCCGATCATGGATTTTTCCTCCTCATTCTTTGGTGCCAAATCATTATTGTCCGACGATAACTTCCAAGCGCACAAAGTCCCCGCCAGGTCAGGGAGGAATGGAAGCTGAAGGATGCACGTATATGCGCACGAGGCGACCGGCCGGTTCGGTCATCGCGTCTAAGACATACCTACGATTCATGTCGAATACGCACACACTCGCGCAACCACGCACCACCAGTTAGCGCGGTCGATGTCTCCAAACAAAGACGGGCAACGAAACATTCACACAAGTAACAACAACACAAACGCAGCCAGGAGAGGCAGTCACACACTCACGATTAAAGTACTTCTCCAAAACCTCGCAGCTGAAACGCTGTATGTCCTTCACGCGAAACGCCAAGCCGTCAGGCAGCCACTCCACGATCTCCGAGTCCTCCTCTTCTACGAGCGTGAACAGCTTCTGGGCGAACAGCTGAGGGCCACCGCGGGCACCCACCCTGCGAGTGGGACTGAATGCCGTGCCGCCGCCACCCCCTGTGCTCGAGAGCTCCTGGTGCTGCGCCTGATGCTGCTTCATGCTTGGTGCTTCTCCCGCACCCTGGAACTTAACGGGCATCGGACGCATGTTGTTTGACGACGACGGTGGTGCGAGCCGTGCTGTTGCGGAGACAACTGGCAACGTACTGTCTAGGAGAAAGTTGGTGCCAAGGTGCACGTCGTCGGAATGAAGGGTTGGGACAGACGGCGGTAAACTGCTCGAGAGGGGTACCAGCGACGGGCAAGACAGCGGGACCAAAAATAAGTACTACAATGGGGCGTCATTCGGCGAAGTGATGAAGAAGAAAGAGGTCTCCCGCCCTCATGTCCAACCTACAGCAACAGGTTTGAGGCTTGAGAGATTATTTGTTCTGTGCGGAGTGTTGGTTGCGCACCATCACGCACATGTTTTACTGAGGTAGGCTCATGTTTTTCGGGAACGACAGGAAGACGGTACATACATACAAGACACAGAATGTGCAGGTGGTCCGCGCAGAAAATAGTGAAAGTTACGTCAGTTTCTGTGAGCTTATGAGACACACACACGGAGGGTCACCCAGGGATATCGAAGTTCACCGCGAAGACACAGACAGAGATGAGCGAAGCACTTGCATGTCTTGAGACCGCAGCGCTCACTTGTCTGCTCTACGTTGCTGACTTCTACGCCCCGTCTGTGTTGTGGTGTGTTGTGCTGCTGCTGTAATTGTATTTGTGTTGTTGGTTGTTGTCGTCATATATAGAATAGACTATGTACCAAGAAAGGAACATGTTTCTTCGTAGCTGGCGGTGTATTTGCTGAGGAACTCAACCCATTGCTGTATTATACACACACCATCACCAAAAAGCTCGGTGGTGGTTGATGCATCCCGTCTCAAACGTTATATGTGCAGCCAGCGCCCTAGTTATTTGCTAGCAAGGGAACCAACGATGTGTTGTGATCTCTGGGGCATCGTAGATACAGCAGCAGTAGACACGTTTTCGACTCGTCGCGTTGGTTGTGCGCATAGTCTTCATGTGAGCGCAGGAAGTATGTGAAACGGTGCGGCTCATAGGCCACGAGTGAGTCCTCCCCGCGAGCATTTCTCTGTCGTAATGATTGACTCTACCTCAGCCTCCTCAGTGGGCCACGCATGCATGTATCGTGTCATCATTCACAAACAAACGTGCCGCGTGTGTGCCCGCTTGCAGAATTATTATTACTTTGGCCTTGCGTCAACCACCTTCGATGTGACCCTTAGTTTCCTGTCGCCTCGATACTCCTTGCTGTAGATTCTGCCACCGCTACCGTGACCAGCAAGCTACTACAACAACAGTACATCTGTTGTTCGGTCCTTCTGCCTACCTGTCCCAATGAGGTAGTAGCGCAGACAGAGACGCGCGAAGGCGCTCACATTACTACCTGCCGTTCCTCCGCAGCTAGCTGCAGGGATTATGATCCTACGCGCATGCATGCATACATTACATACACATATATATGCAGTATTCTATGTACGCCTGATGATATGCCATACGATGTAGACTAATGTGGATCACATGAAACCTGATCCTGCAAAGGCATTGCTGTAGACGCGCTGCAAGAACTGCTGTGAATCTTCTTGCCTGGTGAAAGAAATATTCATCAGTTTCTTCTCCCATGACCTTCTCGGTCTGGTGAAAACACCAACGTTCATACCAATCCACGACCAACGACCAACCGCGTAGATAGTCGCCGCATCGAGTTCTTACGTACACCTGCTGCATCACATACAGCAACGGCACCTACAGATACTCTACTACTATATTCGCTTTATCATCTTACATCATGAAGGAACAGAGGCAACGTCATGCAACAACAGCGTTCGCCGTAGACTTCTTTTTCCGAGGAGTTTGTTTTGCCGGGGGGGCATGATGAGGCTGTTCAAAAGAAGGAGAAGAGTTGGTGAGAGCCTCTCACCAACTCCTCTCACCAACTCTTTTCCTCCTGAGCAGCCTCGAGACGTGAGCGGATATCGCTCGCCGTACGGTTTCGTCCGATGGAGGAGCGGAGGAACACGATGTATGTGTGATACTTGGAAGCGTCTGTACCATCTATCTAGACGGTTATTGCCGAGGAGGAAGGCAGCCAGCCTACTTGTACCCAACACACGTTTAATGGTTGACTGTGCAACCGTAACGGTTGGGAAAAGTACTGGTGTGTCCCAATGGTTCAGTGAGGTCTCGAGCTCTCGAGCTTAGCAAACAAACGCGGTCTCGTTCTGAGCTGTTCGTTCTGGACCGAAACGAGATTCGACAGCTCTACTATTTGATATTTTATTTTGTACAGGTCCGGCGGCTGTGCTGTGCACTCACTGGCTACTGAATACAGGGTATAGCAGCCCGTTGCATCTTCACCCACCCGCTGTGTACAATTGTATGCGCGGCAGCACCGCAGCATCAGTGCTACGTAGTCTGTGTAGTTCATGAGCCAAAATCGTTACTACACTCAGCCGCCGTGCTTGACTAAGCTTGCTACACCCGATGGCTGCGACCGCTGCAAAACTCCCCTTGCAAGTCATACCTATCACAGATTGCAACCCCTTGGGTTCCGTTCAGACGTTCAGATAGATATATTTCGGCGTCCGCAACAAAAAAGTGACGTCATAAAGTGAAGTACGTCGTCACTATAACTTTGTGGCGGGTTTCTTCCAAGAGCTTTCATGATGAACGCAGACCGGGGCGGGTGGAGTTTCTGGCTGAGAACCTCATGCGATCCCAACCTTGAGGGAACGTGTCATGCAGTCTCCGAAAAAATAAAATTGCCGAAATCAAACAAACCGCCGTATACTGGTACACACGACAACCACTCACTGCTGTGCTTCTGCTTTTTAGTCAGATCAAAGCACATGTGCGTGATTGCATCTCGTGCGTATTTAGCTTTCAAGAACATCAAATGCGCTATTGTACAGCAGAAGTGGTACATGATAGATCATTTTCCCATTAAAAACGAACACGGTACTCTCCCTTCTTCCCCTCGCTCCTCGACAAGCTTTTGCTTAGACATGGGTTGTAGTGAAGGGGGGGGTCTTTCTGGCGAGCAGGGCTAGACTCACCCTCAAGGGATGACCGAAACCTTCTTGCTGCTGCGCATATCCGCCGCGAGGCATGCGCGTGGTGGTGTAGTTGGGTCGGCACTGATGGGGTCAGGCGAAAAAATGTAGATGCGCGGGCCTCTGGCCGTCGGCGTAGGCAGCGATGCCCATCTCATTTTTTGTGCGCGGAGGCAGACACCGTCAGAAGGTGGACGGGAACTATGTACACGGCCCTAGGTTGGCTAGAGGGCGCTGCATTGCCTCAGTAACCTGGCTTCGCCATCAAAGGAGGAGGGAGCAGGTGGCGACGAGCTGAACTAGGCTGGTTGACCATTCGGCGCGAGAATTTTTATTTTTTTCAGACCAAGAACCTTGAGTGCAATGAGGGAGAAAGCGAGGAACGGACTGGGAAGGACAGCAACGAGAGCGTGTACGGACGGAGCAGGTCGAGTGGCGTTTTGCTCGGGCTGACTACAGCGGCGCCGGATGGAGCAGCGGCACCGGAGCATGCGGGCGACATCGACCCGTGGCGCACGGACAAACATTTCTATCTGTGTTGTCAATTTTTTTCGTTTTTTTTCTGACTTTCCGTGTTGGTTTTGTGTGATGACATCGTCACCGGTTTTGTAGAGAGACCCGTCAGAGATGGCGTGGCTAACCCGGGTGCATTGGTTTTGTGCCTGATCGTGGAAGACCCCTTCAATGTGGAACGATTCTTAGCTAGTGTCGATATTTTTCACTGCAGTGCCTAACACAGACGATCGGGAGAGATTCGGGTGATTGTCAATTGCTGCTATGATGGCTTTGGTTGGTTGTTCTTTTTCACTGTACGGCCGCAGACACATTCTGACAGCACTTCAGACAGCAGCTTTGTGCCCCGCCAGCTGCTTGTTCCATGCCTACCATGGTGTTTTTGTACAGACAGCACTTCAGACAGCATTATGCTGTAGTCGGCAATCTTCCGTTTTGGTATAGAGTGGGACAGGGAGGGGGTGATGCTACTGCTGTAGTCGAACGGTGGGACGGACGTGCAGTTCAGTTTTTGGGCACGCATACGGTGCTGCAGGGATTTTTAGGTGTACCTCTTCGGGCTCTTGCATACCTTTTTCTCGTCAGATGTGTGCGTGTTCTTTAGATCCTCAGATGGCTCTAGCACTTTCGTGACCACGGGCTGAGAGTCTTTTGCTAGATTTTGGCATTTAGCAACTGACATACGGTTTAATTTGAAGACAAACAAAACAAAACAAACAAAACGGTGGGGACGTGGGGACGCAAGTGAGACAGAGACGCGGAGATCGGAGAGTCGAAAACGTGTGGTGGTGTAGTTTCGTTGGCGCATGCGGCGAGATCCGTTGGTGAGCTTGCATTCCGGAATTTTGCGAGGAAAAAAAATTCTTGACGTTTCATGTTGGCCTCTATCCGTTTGTAGAAACCCGATCATTCAAAAACACATGTTTTTCCGCCGTGGGGGCGCGACGGGAGCACACATTTATGTGATGCCCGGCTTCCCTCTGGCAGTGTTACTCAGCTTCGCAGTGCTCAGCTGTCAAAGAGTGGAGGGCTTTGTGCCACGGCGCGTATCCATACCGCCATCCCGTACGCGCAGCGCAACGGCGACAGCACACCTGATCATGGCCGAGAGGAGCGGCAGCAGCAGCAGCAGCAGCAGCAGCAGTCCCCAGGGTCGGAGCGGCAGCACAGCAACAGCGTCGAGGAGGAGCGACGACAGCCTGCCTCGCCCTGGCATTCTTATCGTCGGGTTCGGGGGTGGGAATGGTGTCACCGTGGCCGCCGGCGTGCTCGCGAACCAGAAGAACATCTCCTGGGAGGGGCCCACTGGCCGCAACTCTCCCAACTACCTCGGCTGCATCACGCAGGTCCCGAGCAAAGGCGGCAGCGGAGGCTACCGCGAGCGATACGCCCTCGCCGATGCCAACAACGCCGCCATCGGAGGCTGGGACATTCGCCCCACCCCCCTTGGCGAGGCCCTCTACAACGCCCGCATCCTCGACTTCGACCTCGTCCGGCAGGTGCGCGACGAGATGGACACCCTCAGGCTGCTCCCGGGCGTTTGGGACCCGGACTTCATCGGCGAGTCGCAGCATGAATCGGCCACGCACGTCGTCGGGGACGGAGAGAGCCAGCAGAGCCGCCTGGAGCGCCTCCGCAAGGACATCCGAGAGTTTCGGGAGGCCGAAGGCGTGATGGGGCACGTGACAGTCATCTGGAGCGCGAGCGTGGAGCGGCCCAGCGAGCGGGAATTCCAGGAGCCTAGCCAGGTAGTACAACGTCAACTCGAACTCGTGTATGCTAGACTAGCCTATGCTGCCGTAGAAAACACGACCGTGGAATGCATACATACATTACCATGAACACCTAAGCCGGAGGCTGCCGTTGGGTTTCTTTACAGCAGTCAAACTATCTCTTGAGGGCCAACAGGATTGTGTTATGTGACTGCTGTAGCTTTTTCGGAATCGAGGCCCCCTGCGTGTGCAACATCCTGTTTCAGTCGACTGCTGTGTTCAACATGTGCTTGTAGTGTCGTGAGAGCTGAGCCTGTTTGCAGCCGCTGGAGGTCCTGGACTGTCGATGGGGGTATACAGCAGTGCCAATCCTCCTGCTCCTGCTGCATTACACCGAACACTTCAATTTCGCCTTCTTTGACCTGAAGGCTGCTTGGAAGCCATCAATTGCCAGCACGAGTAGACTAACTGCCGATCAGGTCGTGGCCATACCTCGGTGCTTCTTATCTACCTCGCGACCGCTTCTTCGGACGTGGCAATCTGTTTGTGCGAAAAAGGTGCCGGCCCAATCATACGAAGCACCTGTTTCAAGCAAGACTCAAAAGCCTCGCTGTGTCTCACCGTTTGAGCTACCGCGTAGCATATTTCCGTTCATGGTATGCCGGCTAAGCTTTTTTTTTCGTAGCGCCGTTTCTTCTTTTTTCTTTTTTTCCTAAGAAAAAGAAACTTGAGCCCGAGCTCCTCTGACGCCGGCACCGCTTCACTTGTTTCCCCCTGCGTTCCTTCTCTCACGTCCAGCTACTGGAGGCAATCGCTGCAGACGACAAGGAGGTGTCTCCTTCTATGCTGTACGCGTCTGCAGCCGTACTCGAGGGATGCTCCTTCGTCAACGGTGGCTCGCAGAACACCATGTGCGGGGCGCTCCTGAAGTTGGCCGAGGTGTGGTGATGATGTTTTTGTTTTGGGTCATGTTTCTGCGGCGTGGGAGTGCGCGAGCCGTAGTGCGTTTCGTTGCAATCTGCGAGGTGGCCTTGCCCGAGAAGGTTTTGGTGACACAGCAGTATTGCATGTACGTGATACAGTACGTATAGCATGGTGAGTTTCGTTTCCGCAAGGCAACGAGGATCACGTTGACGTGATGATGATGAATGGGATGTTGTGTGCTATGATAGCCGTTGTTGGTGGCACGAAAAAGTTTACTGTCATGCGCGTACACAGCAGTAGTAGCTGATCAAGATGGGGATGTACGACATTGTGCCTATTTTTCGGCACTGCTTGCTTCTTGGTGAAAGGCGCTTTGCTCTACCCACTTTGCGCCGCCTACTCCGTGTAAGCTGCTGTACCCAGTAGTGCAGCATCCACTCGCCATTCGCATGCATGACCGCTGGACGTCAAGCCATTCACATGCATGACTGCTGGACATGGCACGTCCAGTGCAGAGGGATCACATTAGGTGTCACGGCGTGAGCTTTGCACCTTTACCCCACCCAGGTATAAGGGGTACGGTAAGCTACACGATAGCTCTTGTTGTCGTGGGATAACGACGTTACTCCACGTACTCTTCTGCAGACATTACATCAGTCGATAGAACTGCTCCTCTCCCCTGTTGTCATCTACCTGGCTGGCCGGAAACTCGTTGTTTGTGCCTGATGTCCCCAACCCGCCGTGTTCCCTTCCCGCTCCTGCTCCTCCCAGGACAACGCGTGCTATATGCTCGGCACCGACTTCAAGGCCGGGCAGACGAAGTTCAAGACCGCAGCGGTAGAGTATATCCGCTCCCTCGGCATGTGCCCCAAGGTGAGATGGGTGTCGTCGTCGATGTGTGCAGCTAGGTAGCGGTATGTGTGTCGTGCCCAAGGTGTTACGAAAACCGTTTTGGTGCTGTTTGCCTAGGCCTGCAGTCTAGGTTGCAAGCGTCTCCGCTTGCCTTGGTGCTGCATCTTGTCCGAGAGACTGGGCTGCCTTGGTGAAACGATTACGAAGGAAGGAGAAAAGAGCATACGTCACCCGAAGTCAAACTGTCATCTCTGCCCGTGATGTTGTTCATTCATCGTGGAAGCAAGGGCAGGGTGCGCCGGAGGCGCCACACCCATGGGAGTACCTCACCACGCACGGGCGTTTTTTAGCTCGGTGGTTCTACATTACGCGACGAATCTGACTGAACATAAACACCGAGCGCCTGCCCCCCACCCGGGTACCTTCTCTCTTTCACCAACACGGCAACGTGGTAACGCTGCTACAAGGTAACAACTTGCATTGCCTGTCGAATTGCTGAATGCAAAAAGGCCAACGGGTGACCCCCCACCCCCCCCCCNATTGCGATTTGTATTAACCGTCTGCTGAATCTTTGGAGAAAGGTTGGCACCCCCAATGTGTGTGTTGACGCACAACACGAGACGTCTTCAAGAAAGCAAGGCAATTCCTCAGGTGAACCTGTGTGTGCCCCCCCCCCCCCCCCCCCCCCTCCCTCCCGACAAACACCATCTCCTTTACCAAACAATCGCTCTCGATAAAAAAAGGTGATCGCGTCGTCCAACCATCTGGGCAACAACGACATGCTCAACCTCACCACCAAGAAGACCCTCAGCGCTAAGATGAGAGTCAAGAGCAACATCTTCGCTCCGTGGGAAGAGGACATCAACCACGAGGTGGGATAACGTCTGTTGACGTACGCAAGTAGGATATGGGGAAGGTTCGGCTTATCCTATGAAGCAACACGCAAGCTCTTGATTCAGACACGGTTCTGAAATGTTGCACACAAGTACTTCCAACATTTGTTTCCACGTAGACCACTCAAAGCCCTCAAAGGGCCGAAATGTATCTTCAGCAGGGATGAATTCGCGACGCATGGAGGGGGGGGTGATTTGGAGAACAGATTTACGGGTGTTACAACCATTGTTGCACCTATTGAAGTGGGCGTAAAAATATCCGATCGAACGCAGCATCTTGGTAATGGTTGAATAGCAAGAAACCTGACCAGGGACGCGGACCTTTCAGCTGCACCTGTGGAGATGAGGCATGCGGGACCCTCGGTCCTCGCGCCCCTCTCCCCTCTCTCTTTTCTGTCTCTCTTCCAAGACATCTTGTCCTTGCCAAACCTCAACGAACAGAGAACTGCGAGCCCCCGGTTGTGGGTCAAGACTATATACCACAAAATAGGTCTCCTTTCGACGAGAGAAGCCTGTGTGCGGACTTTTTTTTGCGGGCTTTTTTTTCTGGCGTTACGTGATTGTACGATACACAACGTGAAGTACGCGTTGCTTGTTGTGCACGGTTGTTGTTGTTGTTGTTGTTGTTGTTGTTGTTGTTGTTGTTGTCTTCACATTAAAAACCGTTCCGATCTCTCTCTACCCAGTACCTCACGGTAGTGCTTGGCGAAACGCCTTCCAGCGAAGGACCTGGCAAAGAGTGTCGAAACTGGGTTATTTTCGCGGAACCTCTCGCACTTCAACCATTGTCACGGCCCACCCGGATGGGACAGCTACCGATACCATCTCTGATTCTTGTATCGACTCTTGGCTACCAAAGTTATATGCATGATCCAAATTACTCTTTTGGCCCCAGTCTCTTCTTTACACTTCACTCCATAACTTCCATGTGCGAACGGAATGACTTTCCAATTTTCGCGTCCACGCAGCAACCATGAGCTGAAACCGCTGTTTTTTTTTGTTTGGTGTGCGCCTTCTCCGTTGGTACGACTTTTTTTTTTTTTTCTCGGATGACCCAACGGATCCATATCTATCTATAGAAGAGAGTCTCAAGATAGATTAGCAGCGCTAACGAAAGCTTTGTATTTCTTCTTGCGCGCGCGTGTGTCTCAGGTGCGCGTGATGTACACGCCCCTCATGGGTGACGAAAAGCGAGACATCGTCGAGTACACCTCCTTCGGGTTCATGAACTGCGCGCACACCATGCTAACCTACACCCGCGCCATGGACAGCGCCCTCTGCGTGCCCCTCATGATCGACGCGGCCGTGTGGTGCGACTACTTCGCCCGCGCGGGCGCGCACCAGGACAGCGTTGCCCGAGCTCTGGCCTACCTCTTCAAGGTACCTGAGGGGGGAGCGCAGGGTGTCGACCCTGGTTTCTTCAAGCAGATGCGTGCCCTGGAAGAGGAGCTGGAGGCCACGCGGCTGGGAAGTGCGGCGGCGGCGGCGGCGGCGGCGGCGTCGCCCGAAGGAGCGTCCGCGGTCGGCGGGATGCTGGTGGGGAGGGTGCTGTGCGCCGGGATAAGCTGCCTGGATCTTCAGCTGTGCGGGTCGGGGGGCGGCGGCGAGGGGGGGGTAGAAACGATCCGAAAGTTTAAGGAGACCAAGTACTGCCCCGGGGGGTCGTGCCCGCAGGCATCGACGGCGTTGGCTAGGCTCGGAGTGCCGGGGGTGGTGGCGGTGACCAAGATGGGTGCGGACGCCCACGGAGACGAGATGGTTCGACAGGTGAGTGGTGGCGCCTGTCTTGTGGGTATGTCCCGTGTGCCGTGTTTTGTTGCGATCGAGTGGGAAAGGGCATGTATGATGGCGTGTTCGGAATGTGGGAGAAAGCGCTCCTTTGGTGGGCGCTGCCCAGGGCGATCTGGTGTGTTTGGAGACGAGGCTATCGCGGAAAATTGTGTCGGGCTTGTGCATCGCGGTATGCATAGCACTGCTGAATGCGGCGAGCACAGCAACAGCAAACCTGCACCTCAGTCAACTGGCATATCGTGCGAGGCGCTGATTCTACCTTGCATGTCTGAGGCGATGCCGATATTAACAAGCGTATGTTGCAGAGGATTATCACGATTTCGCTTAGACCTGAAGGGTCGACCTTGTATGGGTGTACTCCCCTGGTTGCTTGAGAAGTCAAAGGGATGGTTGTGTGTGATAGGGTAGGGCATCTCATTTTTTGCCAGGTCCGACTAACGGCTCACACAACTGTACTTTACCGGTAAACATCATCCTATTCCTATTGGCACCGGCCAACAATCCCACAAGGCCGGTGGCTCGACTCTATCGACGTGAAGAAACCTTCCTAACCCTGTCCCTGGTGTTTCTCCAACCGCCAACCCGCCCCAGATGTTAGCCGCCGGCGTAGACTGCTCCCGGGTTATCCGCGACGCTTCCGTCCAGACGGCACTCGCGGTGCTGCCCATATTCTCGTCGGGCGAACGCGGCTGCTTCGTTAACCTTGCCGCCAACGACGACCTCTTGGGCGACGAGGTGGCCGCGGTGCTTAAGGAGGTGGCTGCGGAAGACGGGCCGCCTCTGGCCGCGTTTCACTACGGTTACCCGCACTTCACCAAGCAGGCACGTTTGCTGCTACCTTGTTTCGTGTATGGTACGAGTGACTATGGGTCATTATTTGGCCGAGAAAACAAGAGCCGGACCATTGTGGACCCGGTTTTCACCCTTTTCCTGGTATGAATCGCGAGGTGTTTGCTTTGCTACAATGTCAGTGGGGTTTCATATCCATGAAGCGAGCATGAGTGTCTGCGCGCACGAGGACGGTGCCCCGCTTCGGACACCTACCAAACTAGTCACCCATCCACCGGCAAGACCACTTTCACACAACACGGTTGCTTATTCATACTCGATAGGCAAAACGCAATGCGTGTTTTCGAACAAATCTCTGGAGTGCGATCTCAACCTCACATCAGACGCTGTGGCCATCACCGTGTTGCCAAAGCAAACCGTTCCGTTTGATGCATGCCTTCTCGTGGCGGTTTGCACTTTCAATCGTCGGGTGGTTGGGCTCCAGCAGAGTTTGAGTGCAATGTTTGTCAGACGCAGCCAACCCCCCCCCCCCCCCCCCCCCCCCCCCCCCCCCCCCCCCCCCCCCCCCCCCCCCCCCCCCCCCCCCCCCCCCCCCCCCCCCCCCCCCCCCCCCCC